TACCTCATAATGACAAAGTGAAAACAGAATTTTAGAAATGTCTGTAAATTTATTACAAAGAAAAAACTGAAATATCACATTTACATAAGTATTCTCAGTAGTTAATTAAAGCACCTCTGGCAGCAATTACAGCCTCGAGTCTTTCTGGGTATGATGCAACAAGCTTTGCACACCTGGATTGGGGGATTTTCTACCATTCTTCTTTGCAATTCCTCTCAAGTGCGGTTAGGTTGGATGGGGACCGTCAGTGGACAGCCATTTTCAGGTCTCTCCAGAGATGTTCAATAGGGTTCAAGTCAGGGCTCTGGCTGGGCCACTCTAGGACATTCACATAGTTGTCCATAAGCCACTCCTGTGTTGCCTTGGCTGTGTGCTTAGGGTCATTGTCATGTTGGAAGATGAACCTTTGGCCCAGTCTGAGGTCCTGAGCGCTGTGGAACAGGTTGTCATTGAGGATATCTCTGTACTTTGCTCCATTCAGCTTTCCCTCAACCCTGACCAGTCTCCCAGTCCCTGCCGCTGAAAAAAAATAAATAAAACAACCCCGGTCAAAAAAAAGTAGTCAACAATACGGTGGCATACCCCCGGATAGAACCTTGAGGTAACTGACACCCTACAGTAACAGTCTGAGAGCAAAACAATCAAGAAAATTTACCAGCAGGCTACAATGTAAACAATCCAAAAGGCGAATGATCGTTCCGTCACTTGGAAGCACACACACAGGTAGCTACCGAGCTTGTAATACAGCAGTCCTGCCGCAATGTGCCCAATAATAAATCCGAACTAGTCGGATAAATAAGAGAAGTTTTCAATCCAATGCAAAGTTATCATCACAGCTTGGGAGGATGAATAATCCGCTGCTCCTAGAAAGCTGTACTTGACGATGAGATCTAATAACACTATAACCTAATCCAAAGGCGAGAAAGCGAAAGAGGAGGGGCGCTGAGCTGCAGTGGCTTATATTCCTCAGCTCAGTTTACGTCACTACGTTGGTATTCTTCCTGGACCTATCCAGCTGGCGCTGCGATTATCCACTATCTGCGTGGTATGACTCGGCTCGGTACGGCTCAGTACGGCTCGGTTTGCGTTTCCACTGCAGTTTAGTATCGCTTTAGAATGGGCGGGATTATTCACATGTCGTTATAGTTGCACCGCCTCTACTGCCGCGACTCCTAAAAAAACTTTTTCATTCCGCGTTGCCCCATCAAGCTCTCGCTGGATCCGCTCCTCTGCTATCAACGAGAGGAACATCTGTACTTCCTCAACAGGTGGAACAGCCACTTTTTGGTTGTTAAAAAAGGTGCGCTCATTCAAAACAGTTGCGTTCAATCCTTCACTGGCTGTGCTGATTTAAATCTAGCGGTTCTTTTGTGTTTGTGTCGCATGTTCAGTGACGCAGGTAGTGACGATTCTCTCCGGCCAATCCGTGATCAGCAGAGTTTACACGTCACGTTTTGGTAATGGTACGGTACGCTTGGAACCCCAACCGAGGTGGTACTAAAAAAAGTACCAGGTACCAGGTACTGTACCCAGTGGAAAACCCCCCAAAAGTGAACCGTACCGAGTCGTACCATGCAGTGGAAAAGCGCCATATGTAACCCGGTCTCTGGCGGTCAGGAGGAATGAAACAGAACTCCTTTTGTGGATGTGTTCTTCACGCAACAACGTGCAAAAACACGGCAACTAAACTCTAAAAATTCACAGTATAAATAGTGTTCTCATTATAATATTATGTATGTGACAGTCCCAGTTATTAATATTCTGCATTGTTGTTTGTACTGCTCGCGCTGCGCGCTAAAGAGATAATCAACGTAGTACTGCAATGAAGCACTTTACTGCAGCGTAACTCAACCAAATCTTATACAAGGATAAATAATATATACACGATATATATAAACCGGCTGAAATGTTTTGAAATCACTTGCAGACACCCACGGTTAGCACCATTGGCAGATAACACAGGGCAAAAAATACAATGACAGCAAAAAATAAAAATAAATAAAACAACCCCGGTCAAAAAAAAGTAGTCAACAATACGGTGGCATACCCCCGGATAGAACCTTGAGGTAACTGACACCCTACAGTAACAGTCTGAGAGCAAAATAATCAAGAAAATTTACCAGCAGGCTACAATGTAAACAATCCAAAAGGCGAACGATCGTTCCGTCACTTGGAAGCACACACACAGGTAGCTACCGAGCTTGTAATACGGCAGTCCTGCCGCAATGTGCCCAATAATAAATCCGAACTAGTCAGATAAATAAGAGAAGTTTTCAATCCAATGCAAAGTTATCATCACAGCTTGGGAGGATGAATAATCCGCTGCTCCTAGAAAGCTGTACTTGACGATGAGATCTAATAACACTATAACCTAATCCAAAGGCGAGAAAGCGAAAGAGGAGGGGCGCTGAGCTGCAGTGGCTTATATTCCTCAGCTCAGTTTACGTCACTACGTTGGTATTCTTCCTGGACCTATCCAGCTGGCGCTGCGATTATCCACTATCTGCGTCAATAGCAAATACTTAAACTAATATCAAAACATACTTACAGTCGCTGATTCAGAAGCACAAGATTGTCATAGCAATGTCGGAATTTACCCTTTGTGCACAGCCAGCCTTGTACTCTTCTAGGTTCAAAAAACTGTTGTCCATAAAATGCGTTGCACAAATTCGAACATCTGGAAGGCCAAATAAAGGGCTTTTGCTTCCGGACTGATACACAGCGTCTCCCTGACATGGCTGCAGCAACACGACTGCTGTTCCTGAAACCACGCCTTCTTTCACGCAACAACGTGCAAAAACACGGCAACTAAACTCTAAAAATTCACAGTATAAATAGTGTTCTCATTATAATATTATGTATGTGACAGTCCCAGTTATTAATATTCTGCATTGTTGTTTGTACTGCTCGCGCTGCGCGCTAAAGAGATAATCAACGTAGTACTGCAATGAAGCACTTTACTGCAGCGTAACTCAACCAAATCTTATTTCCTCCTTTTGAATCATCGACTATTCACCCCTAATATATATACAGTATATATATATTACTATTATTATTTATTTATTTTTAACTGGGAAATACAGAAAACAATTAAAGATCCATTTCAGAGCACGATATTACTGGTTTACTGTAAGCCTTGATGAGAATAAGAGACTTTTCAAAAACATTAAAACAAATGATATATGCCACAAAAATGCCAGTTTAATGCACCACAATGTATCACACTCAAAACCTGATAACTGATTCCTGTGCACATTCAGAAAGAAGAAAAAAAAAAAAAGAAAAAAAAAAGAGGAACACCAACTGATAACAGGACAAAAGAGCTAAAGACTTTTCCTATGGGACATAAGATATGAACATTTTTACATTTTAAAAAATGATTTTAAGAATTTAATAATTTTCAAGGACTTCTACATACACCCTGAATGGACACAAAGATTAACTTGTATTAAACTGGGAACATTATTTTAACAAAGCGCCTGTGGAACATAATAGTTGCTTGAGAAATCTTACTAGTCTGATTCAGTAAGACCCAGTAAGCACAATGTCATCTTAGGGTGTTTGAGCAGCTCACCTGCTCTTTGACCTCTATGCTGTGTTCTCCCTCCAGGATAAGCGTGACCGCTTGCATTATCTGCTTCCCATGTGAGCTCATGATCTGGTCTATATGCTACCAAAGACAGGGAAAGACAATTAGTGTGTGCTAGACAGTTTTTTTTTGTTTTTTTTTTACATTTCAATAAGTGAAACTTTCATGTATTCTAGGTTTATTACATGTAAAGTAAAACATCTCAAAAGTTATTTTGTTTTAATTTTGATGATTAGAGCTTACAGTTCATGAAAGTCAAAAAAATCCAGTATCTCAAAATATTAGAATATTTCCTAAGATCAATAAAAAAAAAAAGGATCTGCAAAACAGAAAAGTTCAAGTTCTTTAAAGTATGTTCATTTATGCACTCAATACTTGGTCGGGGCTCCTTTAGCACAAATGACAGCAACAGTGAGGTGTGGCATTTAATATGCTTTGATACAGCACTCTGTGAACAGCCACCCCTTTCAGTAACGACCTTCTGTGACAGACATTTGAGCACCCCCATATAGCCAAAATGGCATGATCATAACACCTCTGTGAATATTCGACTGTGAGATTGGTGAATTTACCCTTTGTGCACAGCCAGCCTTGTACTCTTCTAGGTTCAAAAAACTGTTGTCCATAAAATGCGTTGCACAAATTCGAACATCTGGAAGGCCAAATAAAGTGCTTTTGCTTTCGGACTGAAACACAGCGTCTCCCTGACATGGCTGCAGCAACACGACTGCTGTTCCTGAAACCACGCCTTCTTTCTTTGCGTGCACATTTGAGCGGCATTACGCTAATATTTCCACATAGTGACGTAGATATGTGGGGGTGTGTTAGAACGAGTCGTTTTAGGTAGGCATGGCTGACTCTTAACTTTTATAAAGAATATCTCTTTGGATTTGAGACTTTAGTCTTTGCAACTCTACAAGCACTCTGTGAACAGCCACCCCTTTCAGTAATGACCTTCTGTGACTAACTCTCTTTGTGGAGAGGGTCAATGATTGTCTTCTGGATGATTGCCAAGGCAGCAGTCTTCCCCATTATTGTGGTTTCAATGAACAAGAGACACCCAGAATTTATACAGTAGGGAATGGTCATTTAATGAAACTCAAATGTAAATATTCTATTATTTTAAAATACTGGATTTTTGACTTTCATTAGCTGTAAGCTCTAATCATCAAAATTAAAACAAAAAAACTTGAAATGTTTTACTTTACATGTAATGAATCTAGAATATATGAAAGTTTCACTTTTTGAAATGTTACAAAAAAAAACTTTTTCACAATATTATAATTTTTTGAGATGCACCTGTATATACTTGCATATATAACTTACCGGCCGGGTGGAGAGCAGGTTTCGAAGCAGCCCCAGTGTTTTCATTAGCACATTGGTATCAGGATCAGACAGGAGTCTAAAGAGCTGTTCTGTGCCCAGAGCTCGAACTATCTCCACCTTCACCTTCTGATCTGCCTGGAAGGCCATGTTCTGCACAAAAACACATTATGGCTTCTGATGACATAGTGTGTTTTCATACCGAAGCTTTGGTGTGGACCGAAGTCAGTTGGTCTTACCATGAGAGCCCAGATGCCATTGACTCTTAGAGCTGGGCTGTCACTTTGTGTGAGGCTGCATAGTAACTCTATGACCCCAGAATCTAAGATAGGCTGTGAACAAACACATACACAATCACTTAAGACCAGCGACATTGAGAATAATCCACTCATCTTTGTTTAAAAGAAAAAATTAAAATTGTATTAACAACGTTATTCTTCTGTCTTTTTTAAATAATATTCCTTTATGCACAAAGAAAACATGAGTGGTCAGTGATTATTAAAATATTTAATTTAATAATAAAGTTTAAGACAAACTTTGATGTTGGCTTGAGAACACCTGACCAGAAAGTCTGAAGTAGTTTGAAGGTTTTCAGTTTGAAGTAGTTCAATAATTATATTACACTTACTGCAAGAAATTTTAAATTCTGGTTGTATAATACTAATAAACCAACAAAGTGTGTGTACTTTACCTCTTTGCTGGGTGAAAACTCCAGCAGTAGGTTGCATAGTGTTGAAGAGGCCATGACCAGGACCTCATCTGGTGCGTTCTGTAATAACTACCCACAAAAACAAATGTGCATTCAGTTATGAACAAACACATACACAATCACTTAAGACCAGCGACATTGAGAATAATCGTATTAACAATAATTGTATTAACAACGTTATTCTTCTGTCTTTTTAAAATAATATTCCTTTATGCACAAAGAAAACATGAGTGGTCAGTGATTATTAAAATATTTAATTTAATAATAAAGTTTAAGACAAACTTTGATGTTGGCTTGAGAACACCTGACCAGAAAGTCTGAAGTAGTTTGAAGGTTTTCAGTTTGAAGTAGTTCAATAATTATATTACACTTACTGCAAGAAATTTTAAATTCTGGTTGTATAATACTAATAAACCAACAAAGTGTGTGTACTTTACCTCTTTGCTGGGTGAAAACTCCAGCAGTAGGTTGCATAGTGTTGAAGAGGCCATGACCAGGACCTCATCTGGTGCGTTCTGTAATAACTACCCACAAAAACAAATGTGCATTCAGTTAGGGTTTGACTAGCCTCCAGGTTTCACTCAACATCATCCGGATATCATACCTTCATTAGTGGCTTCCATACTGCATGATCATGGAAACTTGTCCTTAACTGTTGTACAGACCGTGATAAACTGTGAAGACATCTAGAGAAAATTTTAAAGAAATAAATGGAAATAAAAGAGCAAACCAAAACCTCTTTACTTTGTTTTATTTTTGAATTCTTTCAATATCAAACTGTCGTACCTCTTCAACTAATACATTTAACATTTACACTACTATTCTAAAGTTTAGGGTTGGTAAGATTTTACTTTTTTTTTTTTTTGAAAGAAGTCTCATGCTCACCAAGGGTACATTTATTTAATCAAAAGTACAGTAAAAACAGTAATATTGTGTATTATTATTACAATTTGAAAATGTCTTATTATTCTCAGATATTTCTCAGATGTTTCTTATTATTATCAGATATTGAAAACAATTGTACTGCTTAATATTTTTGTGGAATCCATGACACTTTTTTTCAGGATTCTTTGATGAACAGAAAGTTCAAAAGAACAAAATTTGTTTGAAACCAAAATCTTTTTTATTGTCACTTTTGATCAACTGAAAGCGTCGCTGCAGAATAAAAATATTGATAAAAAAAAATAAAAAAATTCTTACAGACCCCAAATTTTTTAATGGTAGTGTACAATGGCAGTTTTCATTCTCCAAATTTTTTTGACAGACGATTAAAAGAATATGTGTGTCATACCTGACTGCTGCTAACCGTACTTTGATACTAGATTCTGATAGGCCACTAACAATCCTGTCCATCATATTTTCCGTCTCTGTAATCTGTAGTAGGGAAATTAATGTTAACATCCTTAGCACAATCACCACATCTACCTAATAACCTGTTTTAATTGTCAGGGTATCAAAGTAGTCAAGTCACACTGTTGATTTTTTGAAAAACAGAGCACTAACATGACATGACATGACATAATACCTTTTTCCTGATATCCTCGTCATTGGAGCCCAGTGAGGCATAGAGTTTAAAGGCCGCCTGTCGCAGCTCATGTGCATGTTTCAAGTCATGATCCAACTATAGGAAGACAAACGATCACTTAAAATGATTTCATTTCATTGGAAAAGAAAAAGTTACCTGGTTACACCCACTCTTGAAATCTACATACTAGGCTTTATACAAAAACAACAGAAGTCTCTGGTATGTCTTAATTCAGAAAGCTAATGAAATGTGTGTTTGTGACGTTACCCTCTTAATATCAGTGATGGCGCTGACGGAGCTTGGGTATTTAAAGTAGTCAGCCAACATGGACACGAGGTGGTCAGTGACGCTTGCAATCCGCTGCAGTTCTACGTCTGGCTCCATCAGGTAGGCTAGTGTCTCAGCCCCCTCCACCCTCTCCTCCAGTAACCGCTCTTTACTGCACATCCGCACCAGGCACGGCAAAGTCTGTCCACACACACACACACACACACACACACACACACACACACACACACACACACACACACACACACACACACACACACACACAACTAGTTCATATGCACTTTAAATGACACTTTTGCATTCATCACATTCATTCATTACACAAATGTGAATTTTTTTGGAGGTACCTTTAGTACAATACAGTTGTCGTCTGTCCTGATGGCTCCTGCTCGACACATGTATGTTAAGCTGAGAGAAAAAAGTGTGCAAGTTTGTAAAAGCTGAAGGGATTGCACATGAATTTTTATAAATAACCTGCAGGATTAGATTTACTCACCATTTGGCGGCTGTAAGCTGCATTTCAATGGGTTTGTCCCTTTGCATCATTCTAACAAAAACCTGAGAGAGCTGCTCACCATCTACAAGCACTGAAAAACATACACATATACACAAAATATGATTTTCAGCAGGCTGAAGTATTATTTTATTAACATACAGAAAACCCAAATAAAGGTTTTAAGCTTTGAACCAAACCAAACATCTCTTACATAACCACATCTGATTCAAATAATAAAATGAGCATTTTAATAAGCAATGAGCAAAATAATTTTGAATCGGTCTTTTTGATGTAATTTGATAGGAGAAAACACTGCTGATGATTTTTAGGCTCTAACACTACACCATAAACTAGGTATTATACACTACTGCTCAAATGTTTGGGGTCGGTAACATTATTTAAATGGTTTTTTCAAGTCTCTTATGTTCACAGGCTGCATTTATTTGATCAAAAATACAGTGATATAGTGAAATATGGTTACAATTTAAAACGGTTTTCTATTTTAATACATTTGTAATACAAAATGTAATTTATTCCTGTGATGGCAAAACTGAATTTTCAACAGCCATTTCTGAAGTCTTCAGGGTCACATGATCCTTCAGAAATCATTCTAATATGCTGATTTGATACATTTATTTAAAACATTGAAACATTTATTTATTATTTTTATTATACATTATTTATTATAAATATTATAAATATTAAACCATTGTGCTGCTTAATATTTTTGTGGAAATTCTAATAATTGTTTTTTAAGATTCTTTGATAAAGTTCAAAACAACAGAATTTATTTGAAACTGAAATCTTTTGTAAGAATGTAAATGTCTTTACGGCCACTTTGATCAATTTAATGTATATGTGTTGAATTAAAAAAAAATCTTACTGACCCCAAACTTTTTAACACTAGTGTATATAGCTACAGTACCATGGTGGCTTTCCAATAGATAACGTAAACCAGTTAGACTAGCAAAAGCTTACCGCAACTTCTCCATGGTAACAGTGATGTAGTTCTTCACCAAAATCAGAAATTACATTTCTAACACACTGCATTGTGGCTTCTACGGAAGCATTTATCTTCACTTAACAACCTCAAACTGTCTCTATGGAGCTTCTGAATGGTATTTTTTACTTCCAAAAACCTACTGTTCTGCACTATTATTTTATTTCACTGAACAGTGATTCAGATATTACCAACGAAAATGAAAAACTGCAACACAAAAGAGAAGTCACAGAGATTCTCTGATGAACGTAAGCCAGGAGGACAAAATTAGTGGTGATCAAAAGATGGTAGATAGAGGTCGTACTCACCATTCACCAGTGTCATGGAAACCTGAGCGTTCTCATAGGCCAAAACTGAGAAACACTTTAACGCCTGCATCCGTACCTACAGAGAGGATTCACAAAACATTATTACTCCGAACACACGACATGCATTAAAAATATAATTACAAAAGCAAAATCAATTAACTTCCTTTTTGTACCTTATCGGAGGGAGAGATGAGCAGAGGAGCGATGTTCTGGATGGCACCGTGGTTGAACAACACCGTCTGATGTTCTGGAGTCTGGACACAAATTAAAATTATTCAATGCATTTTTCAATAGAGCCAATTATTTCGATAGAAAAGAAAAGATTACTTTGCCAAGAAGCCTAAACTGTAATACTGCAACCATTTTATGGTTTGGCGCGTGGCCACAGGTGCATGTTGGCTAATCCTTAATAAGGCTTGAAATAAAGCTTGTATGTGGCTAATCTAATCAGAATTTAGAGCTGGAACCATTCCCTTTATATTTCTGAATAAATGCATATGTGATGTGTAATGCACACAGAGTTGTGTGTGCTACCTTGCAGCAGTGGGCGAAGATTTGCGTGATGTATTCCTGTGTGTGCTGTGACCGACTCAGCAGGGACATGAGATGGGGGATCACGGTGGGGTCCTGATGCAAATTAAAACATGCTGATCACACTTCCGTTTATGCATGTACATATGTAATTTCAGAATGTGCATGTTGTCTCACTGTGTAGAGCAGCTGCACTGGTGTGACTGGACTGATGAAGACGGTTCTTAAACAGCGCAGACATGCCTCAATGAAGATCAGATCAGAACACAAGAGACCTGCAAAAATGCAAAACACTGCTCAAAAGTTTCGTATCATGAAGATTTTTTTTTTTTTTAGAAATAAGTCTCTTATGCTCATCAAGGCGGCATTTGATTATTTTATTTGATCAAAAATACAGTTAAAACAGTAATATGAAAGATAGACTGAATAGTCAGAGCAAGAACCTTGAAGTAGGGCTGGGATGATGTGACAGTCCACCAGGGACTTGATGTTGTTCTCTGTGCCCATTGCCAGACTGCCCAACACGACCGCACATTCAGTCCTCAGCTCCAGACTCGAGGAGCTCTGCTGGAGAAGATACAGGAGTCTACACACACAAACACACACACACACACGTATATCCTCATCAGCAGTGAATAGCATGTAAAACAGAGAACAGAGAAAACTGTTTTTGCCGTCACTAAGGTAAGAGAGTGTCTTAACTAAATAAACCTTGTTTATTTACAGGTTTAAATATGATTTTGAATCCCAGATTTTGAATATAATCTCAGACTTTTGGACTTCACTGTAATTTTGCTGCTATATTCTAGCCCAGCCCAGACAACTGGATACATTAGCTGATTTTCAACCTTACTGGCTGTGTCAAAACTCATTGCAGTACTATTGGTGAAAGAAGGGTAAAGTGGGTGGACATACCTTGGCACGGCTCCCAGCACAATCAGGTTGGCCTTTTGTTTGTTGTTTCCGATGACAGCATTCTTCATGTCACTGTCAATAAAGGTGCAATCACTTATAACTCATGGTGCAAAACATACCTTTTCTATGGCATAGAAACTGATCAACAGAAGAACAGAATAAATAATTTTGAGGGTGCTATTGGTCAGATAAACAACAAGCTGGGTTAAAAAAGCTGTACTGTGGTTGCTGACTTCAAAATTTGAGTTTAAGTTTAGGGATGTAACAATTCACTCAACTCACGATACGATACGATACAATTTTCTCACAATTTTGTTTTGACCAAATGAGATTTAAGACATGAAATGGTGGACTTTTATTATTGATTGGACAAAATGCTGCACATTTCTTTGTGAACAAAACAAATTCAAATAACACATTTTAAAACAAATAACACAAACAAAAGAAATCAGAGATTAGAGGCAACTACTGCATTTTAATCACAAAGATTCTGCATACATACATGCAGCATGATCCGTTTTTAAACTAAATTGGACTGCATAATTTGAAATTTGTAGCAAAAACAGGATGGTCTGACTTTAGTTTTGTAAAACTATACTATAAAATATATCTGCATGAAACAAAAACAGCAGACAGGCTGAATTAGATGCAAATTCACTCTCTGAAAGCAGGTGGCACTTATGGAACAGCAGCGGTACAGCATTTCCATGGTTGCCGCTGTAAATAAAGCAGAGCTGTTCAAAAGTTTGGGGTATTTTTTATTTTTATTTTTTAAGAAGTTAATACTTGTATTATGCAGGGACACATTAAACTAATCAACGTGACAGTAAAGACTTTTACCTAATTACAAAAGACTGAAAATCCAGCTTTACCATTACAGGAATAAATAAATAGAGTTATTTTAAATTGTAATAATACTTAACAGTATTTCTGTTTTTACTGTATTTTTATCAAATAAATGCAGCCATGGTGAGCATTAGAAATTTCTTTCAAAAACATTTAACATGTTAAAAACATAAAAAAAAAAATTCAAAATCATATTATTTTTCATATGCCAATTATTTTTCACAAGGTTTAAAGAGTCCTTCGGTATGAGACAAACATTTTAGAATAAAAATGTTACATTTAGTATTTCAATTAATATGGAAACTGCATGTACAATAATTAAACCAAAATTAATTACATTGTTTAAAGGGTTAGTTCACCCAAAAATTAAAATTAGCTTGTGTTTTACTTACCCTCAAAGCATCCTAGGTGTATGTGACTTTCTTCTTTCAGACGAAACCAATCAGAGTTATATTAAAAATGGTCCTGGTCCCTCCAAGCCTTACAATGAGGGTAAGCGGGTGTTGGTTGTCAACAGTTCAGAAGACGTGACATAAAGTGCGCGCATCCGTAATAAAACGTGCCTCACACGGCTCCAGGGGGTGAATAAAGGCCTCCTGTAGCGAATCCATGCATTTTGTAAGATAAATATCCATATTTCAAACGTAATAAACACTTTTCTCTCACACCTGCTTACTCCCATTGAAAGGCTTGGAATAGCCAGGACAGTTTTTAATATAACTCCGATTGGTTTCATCTGAAAGAAGAAAGTCACATACACCTAGGATGCTTTGAGGGGGTGTAAAACACAGACTGATTTTCATTTTTGGGTGAACTAAGCCTTTAAAACAGCTTAGCAGAGAACATTGCTGTCTTTGTTGAACATGTCAAACGTAACTGGTTAGCAGAGTGGCTGATAATGAGAGCAAACAGTAACACCCTCCTAGCAGACTCTCATCTCATGACTCATTACCTGAATGCACATATAGCACACAGAGGTAATGTAACTATACTCTCCTCTGAACAAAATGGACAAGCCATTGAATATTATATTTCTTTTTCTCTTCCAGAAGGCTTTTTTGCACTAAAAGGACAGAGGCATGTGCAATCATAATTGATGCTTTATTGATGCTATTCTTCATCAACAGTACCCAAAATATTTACAAATGTTCCATAATCACAATGAACTCATGCAACATTCAAGTCAAAAATGGATGGCAGAACAAAGTCATAATAGATACACAGAGCATTAATTACAAACTTAATGTGCACCATTTGCTCTTTTATTTTGTTCCATTTTCACTAAAGTGCTTTCTGCCTTTGTCAGGAAATGAAAAAAGGAGAAAGAAATATGAAATTGCCCAGTGTTGCTATTGTTAATAGAAAAGGAAACTAAGGCCCAATCCCAATTCTACCCCTTAGCCCTTGCCCTTTCCCCTACCCCTCCTTTCGCGCGTTCACGTGAAGGGGTAGGGGTGTCTCGATTCTCTTTTGGTTGGAGGGGTAGGGGTAAGGGGAAGGGCCAGATAGCCCTTCAAACGAAGATTTTTCAGGACCACACTTCAAATGAAGGGATATGAATTATCTCAGCGTAAACCGGCTTCAGCGGCAACATGGCTGCCCGAGCGAACAAAAAGACACATAAATGTAAGCATTTTTGGGCATTAATAACGATTTTAACGAAAAAGTAATCATTTGTTTTATGTTACTTTCAATCGTGAGTTCGTATTTACGGTCATGTTACTCAAAGAAATGTTTGCAAAAAAAAAATCGCTAAAGTTTGCTAACGTCATATCATTACAGACTGCACGATAGTGACACAACATATTTTCATGTCTGATCAGGGCGATGACCACGGTAGACATTGAGGAGGGCTAGTACCCCCAATAATTATAAATCGCTAAACCCTTTTCTCAAATATTGCGAGAGAGAGACAGCGAGAGAGAGAGATGTTTCTCTTTTTAGAGTGAGTTTACTTCAAAAACAGCAATTTTATCCTCTTGTTGCTGAAAAATATAATGTAGCGATTCAGTATTTAAACTGTTATTAATAAAAGTCGTGGGGCAGAGTTGACAAGTATCTTTGCTCCTGGATGTGTGAGCTGCGCGATCTCTGATGTGTGTGTGAGTGTGTGTGTGTGTGTGTGTCAGTAAGCAGCGCATTAATATAGAACGATAATTAAAGGCTCTAATTCACACCAGCAGAGGTGTGTGTATTGACGTATGATGACGTGTGACGGCATAGTAGTGGTGTCCCAATTCTTAGGGGAATATTTTCACCCCTACCCATTGACACTCGGTTTCAAGGGACAAGGGGAAGGGGTAGGCGGAAGGGTTTAAAATAGAAGGGCAAGGGGTATAAAACAGAATTGGGATTGGGCCTAAAACTACTAAAACAAATTGAAATAAATAACTGAAATAAAATATAAATATCAGATTAGAATCTTTTTTTTAAATCTCAGAAAAAAATTATAAATTCTTTTAACTAATTGGAACAAGCTAAAATACTAAGTTTACTAAAACTGAAATAAAATTAATATATATTATTTACTTTTATTAATAAAAAAATTTAAATAAAAGCTAATTCGAAATTTCTATTTTAAGAAATTTCCAGAAGGATTTGGACACAGCATTCATTTTTATTTATTTATTTTTTTAAAGATTTATTTTTGGCATATTATGCCTTTTATTTAGATAGAACAGCAGGTCGACAGGAAGTGAAGTGGGTGAGAGAGAGGGGGGTGGGATCGGGAAAGGTCCGCAAGCCGGGACTTGAACTCGAGACACCCAAAGTGCAATGGCGCTACAAGTAGGCGCACTGCCCACAAGGCCATGTACACTGACTGGACAACATCAATTATAGCGGAAGCAAATTGGTATTCATCATAATTATTTTAGCACACCCCCAACTCTGAAAGAAACCAGCATTTCGTAGTGATTATAACAACACTATCAGTGGTGCAACGCAAGATCACATTCATCCCGCTGAAATGATCATTTCTTGACATGACTATAAATCAGCATAAATGCAAAAAACTTAATGTGTTAGTTGATGGCAGATACACCTCACATAAACACACAAGTACAGCACCTCAGAGCATCTTACATTAAACAAAAAAAGAACTAACATGTACTTGCTCTCTAAGGACTAAAAACAACCTCCTATGGTGACAGCCTCATCTTTAGCACTCAGAAAGTGAGCATGGTGAACTACAACAGAGCAGAGCGCTACACACAAGGAGGGACACATGGTTGTTTACTCACATGACTCCCTGCAGCACGTTCTGTGGGTCGGGGTCAAAAAGCCGGTCAACATAGTGGCGACTCGTGGCTGTGACTTCCTGCATTGTGACAAAGACAGCACAAAGATGATTCAGCAAAGTCATCCCATCTGAGGAATCAAAACACCTTCAGTCTCGCCCCATAGCCTCCTCCCTGGCTCACAATACTTTGGTCTGTTTACACTTACAGTTGCTCTAGAAGGAGAGCAGAGACCTGTTTCCCATCTCCTCAAACACTGCAACTCACTTGTACAGGCAGAGATGGCAATTTCAGGCCAGGGAAAAGTGTGAATGACATCCACCCCAAACATACCAAAGCATCTATGCAATCATTTGGCACTGCTATAAATGTCACTTCATGCTTCAAAACATTGCATCCACACATGAACTCTATCTACAATTTAGAACATAATGTAACATAATGGTGTTTCGCTGTACCAACCTAACCTGTTCTGGCACAAATGAGTTTCCAACAGACTTCAACAATGAATCTGAATGATTTGGGATAATTAATAAATTACAGTTTTACATCTCTCTATGATTACCCAGCCCTAAAGAAATATTCAGCTGTCAGTTTAGACAATTACTTGTAGGGCTGAAAAACGATTAATTGTGATTAATGGAATTCAAAATAAAAGTTTATGTTTATGTTATGAGTGTGTACTGTGTATATTATATATATATATATATATATATACACATACACTTGTATTATAATGATAATAATAATAATAAGTTTTATATAGCACCTTTCCAGAGCTCAAGGACATTTTATAATAAACATCAAATATGTGAAGATATCATCAAACAATAACACAGAGGATAACGTCAGACAATAATACAGGAAATGAAGAGAACACCAGACATCGGAGGATATAATATAATTTATATTATATAAAAATATAATATGTTATATATAGGGCTGGACGATATGGCCAAAATTTATATCACAATATATTTCTTAATTTCGGTCGATACGATATAATTCCGATATCGATATGAACACTATTCAAAAAGCCTCATAAAAACGGCCAAGAACGGCCACAACAGATCTCTGTACCTACAAACTCATGAAAAATTAATTTGCCAACTCTATGAAACCTACTCCTATAAAACTATATAATATTTTAGGGAAAAAATGGCGCAAATAAATAAATGTTCACCTTTTATTGGTATTTAGCCTTCATACAAACAAGAAATGTGAAATCACTGTCAAATAAATCTCAGACTCTCCTTATTAATATTAATATTTTTTACTTCAAACTATAGGCTAACATACCAGTCAAAAGTTGTTGAACAGTAAGATTTTTAATGTTTCTTAAAGAATTCTCTTCTGCTCACCAAGCCTGCATTTATTTGATCCAAAATACATATATTTTGAAATATTTTTACTATTTAAAATTGCTTTCTATTTGAATAGATTTTAAAATGTAATTTATTCCTGTGATCAGAGATACATTCATATAAAACACCCGCGATGCGTTTTGATTTTGAAACGTGCAGTGCTCATGTTTATTCAACGAAGTCAAACGCCACAAATAAATCAATGTATGGGGAACACTGGTAATGTATATCGGAAATGTGTTTAAAAATCATATCACCGTTATTGAAAAAATTATATCGCGATACATATTGATATTGAATTATTGTCCAGCCCTAGTTATATATATATATGATGATATATATATATAAATCTAAAATGTTTTCTTAATATAAACATGTATGTGTGTATTTATATATACATAATAAATATACACAGTACACACACATACAGTGTGTAAACACTTTTATTTTGAACAAACTTTTATTTTGAATGCCATAATCATGATTAATCATTTTGCAGCCCTAATTACTTGGATAAAGAATTGAAATGAATCAAGTTGAAATTCTTGCAACACGACTAATTAACATTTATTTGACATCTGAAATAAGATCTCTATGCAAACCAGTGCTAAACTAGTCTTGTTTCATTGGATATTCTTACTATGAAGTAGTTAATATACTAACAGATACAAGTTGAGAGACAAGCACAGCTATATGTAGTGTGTGTGTGTGTGTGTGTATATATTAGGGATGCACGATATATCGGCCACCATATCGGTATCGGCCCATATCGGCTCATTTTTTCTGTTATCGGTATCGGCCTGATAAGAAAATTTGACCGATATCTTAAAGCCGATAAATAATGCATTATTTCCTTCAGAGACACTTCAGATGCGCGCTGTTCGTTTGCAGCCTTTTGTGCAATTGTACGTTGTAATATTGTGTTTATTTGATGTATATCTGATTTATCTCATATAGAATGCGTTTGGTTAAGTTAAAAGAGCGCTTCAGTTTACCGGTGATAAACTCAAACAGCAGTGCACAACATTAATAACTATGATTGGGAATGTCGTGTATATAACATTCTAATGAGAACATTATTATAATAAAACGTTGTGAATTCTTTGGGTTTAGTTGCCGTGTTTCAGCGCGTTGTTATGGGAAGAGCGCATCCACAACAGGATCACACATTCTGACTATAGCATGCAATAACTGCGTCATTTTGTACATATATAAGTTGTAATATTATGTTTATGTTGTATTAATATTAATCTCAGGATGCATTTCCTTGAGTTAAATAAGCTGCCAGCAAAACGCTTCAGTTTACCGTGTTCATTCAGCTCTTCAGCTTCAGCTTGAGCTGCAGCTCAATGGCTGCTATTTAAAACAGTGGTATTAATTTGTTACTTTTTCAAAATCATTGATATATTATTAATAACAACAACCACTTGTATTTTTCTCTTATTATTTTCATCAACAATATGGTTTAGTAATTAAAATCATTTAATTATTGTCCGTGCAGAGGCTATTCCGTTTTATTGATCTGTGGCGCATTCATTTTGATTCTTTACATGTGTAATGATGTCCAGTGACTTGTTTGCATTATTTATGCATAATTTTATTTATTTGTAAGGCTTTTTTATGACTAAATTTGGTAATGGGAGAGTAAAAATATTTTTTAAACGTACACCGTTCAAACTAGGCTGCTTATGTTGAAGTGTTTGGGATGTGGCTTTTAATGATGAGACCTTTTTTGTAATCAGGCTCTCAAAAAGTATATAACAATTTGGATATAGATTTATCGGCCAACATATCGGTTATCGGCTTTCAAAAATAAAGAATAATCGGTTATCGGTATCGGCCAAAATTTTCATATCGGTGCATCCCTAGTATATATATCTATATACACACACCAAGTCACAACATCCTTACATCTTAGTCATCATGTTGTTTTTGGGATCTAAAAGACTTTCAAGATTGTTTTACACTTCAAAATATTTAATTTTTACAAATAAAGATAATGAACACAATTTCATACTGATTAAAAATGATTTGTTTGGAGTCTCAGAAACCACAGGTATAAAATACTTGTGATGATCAAACTGACTTTATACAGAAACAGCGTTAATATATGGGATAACAATTTACTTTTCTGAAAAGAGCATATCACACAACAAAGGGTTAAAGTTTTAACAATATCACACTGCAGGGTTGATTAGATCAGAGGAGCACATTCAATGTATGGCAAGGGAAGATAATAAACCGAACATGAAGGCTAAAGTTTGAATGATGTCCCCTACAAAAAAATCATCATGTTTATGTTTTTTTTTTTCTAGACTAGAATTGTAAGTATCGGCACGTGATGAGATGGCTAATCATCCAGTAACACAAGTATACAACAACATCTGACAGCATCACTGCACCTGGGCTCCACCACAGTGAGGGCAGATCAACATGTGTCAAAACATACAGGACAGAACTACAGGGCTGTCAAAAGGGGGGCGTTACCACCACATTAGCCCATCAGATCATCATTTAACAGCTTCATCAGAGAATATCAAGCAGGTTTGATTTTGTTTTTGGAGCCCCAGCTCTAAATATAGACTGAAAACTAAATATAACTTTGATTTGTACAGGTCTGAGCACATCCAGATCTAATGTTGACCACATAAACACACAGCCAGCCATCAAAAACCACATTGTTTAATTTAAGATCAATCGCTAAAGTCTATCTAACGTGTCTAGTGTATATCTAAGTGATCCTCAAGTGAAAAGGTAAGGTTTTAATGGGTATAATCAAAGAGACTCACAGATAACACGCTGATGCGTAAAGGGGCCTCCAGCAGGCACGCCATCATTCACTCAGCGGAGCATTCACAGCGGCACTTTCCACATAAACACAGCTCAATCAGCGGAGTATTTACAGCAGCACTTTCTTCACATGCTTGATAAAGCAGAACACGCAGAGCAGCACTTTCCACACCTTATTAGCTTATACTTGTTTTTTTAATAAACTATTTAAAATAATGTAAAATAGAAGCAATGCATAATTTAAACAATAACAACTATTTCTCATTACTCATCTATTAATTAAATTAAATAATTGAGAAAAAAAGAGATGTATCCTCCTTTGAGCCATATTCAAATCTTTCTTACAGTGGACATTTGTGCACCAAAAAACTCATATTTTTTCCCATTAATTAATTTCAAATATGGGTACTTGAAATAGAAATGAAATAAAAAAAATCCCTCGATGCAGCGGTCTCTTTTAACTGATTGAAGAACTCGTTTGTTTATTAATCACAAGTGATTCGATTGGTCCTCCCCGAATATCGCTGAGAAAAGTAACATGCGCCACGTGACAACGCGTATCGCAACTGGCCGCACTTTCTTTGCCTCGTCTTCATTATTTGCAAAATCCATTACAACAACAGCAAAAAAAAGTACTGGTATGAATATGAATAACAATACAAAGAAAAGAACAAGTAAAAACATTTAACAGTAGAAAATCTGAGTATTACATAGAAATAATTTTGCATTGCATTGTTTCATTATACATTATATACATTCCATATACTGTTAACGTGCATACCGAATGCTGATCAGTCTTTAAATCAAAGCTTGCATTATTTTTATTATAAAAATGAAGAACGTATATAAATGAAGGAAAGTGTGGATGAAGAATAAAAACGCATTTAATGCACTGGTCACGTGACCGTTCTGCGCATGTGCAGAGTTCAGGGAGGCAAAAGCGGCGGCTGGAAGAATTATGTCTAATATGTAAAAAGGTTGATCATCTGTGCGATGGGTAACACGATTTGTCGTCTTTGAGCGTAAGGCTGTGGATTAGAGATACAAGGATGAAGGTGGCAGTAGAAGGCTGTTGTCATGGAGAGCTGGATCAGATCTATGAGAGCATCAGTTACCTGGAGAATAAAGAAGGTGTGAAGGTGGATCTGCTGCTGTGCTGCGGAGACTTCCAGGCTGTCAGAAATGAAGGAGACATGAAGTGCATGGCGGTGCCTGCCAAATACAGACACATGCAAACTTTCTACAAGTACGTTAAGCAAACACCCGGTATTATTCAGTAACGGTAGATAGATGTTTCATTAAACAATGAGAGTCATTTACTGTACTACAGAGACTGAATATACTCAGTGATTGCATATTTATTTGTGAATTATTTAAAGTCAGTGGATAAAGCACATTTGGTTTTTCAAATATGTTTGAGTGAATGTTAAGTAAGCATTACGTTGGTATTGGTCGACCATCGTTTCTCATGTCATGTCCATCGGTTTTTCCAAGGTACTACTCTGGTGAGAAAAAGGCTCCTGTCCTGACGATTTTCATTGGCGGAAACCATGAGGCCTCAAACCATCTGCAGGAGCTTCCATATGGAGGCTGGGTGGCCCCCAACATCTATTACCTGGGTGAGATCTTTGGCTCATACTCACAAATGCAAACTTTATTACTTTAATATGTAGTAAGATTAATAAGTGTAGTACTAAATTTGTGTTTCAGTGTTGTATGCTCAGACTTTTATGGTTTTCTTAATAGCACTTAAATAGCGGTTCTCAATGGATTTGATGTTCCTCATTCGTCAGGTTATGCTGGCATTGTTCGCTTTAAAGGTGTACGGATTGGCGGTGTTTCAGGAATATTTAAATCCCACGATTACAAGAAAGGTGAGTTTGAACAATTTCAAATCGGTTGTTATAAGACCCAAAAATCACATTTCCGAACTCTATGCAATTTCAGGACACTTTGAGTTCCCACCATACAGCCCAGAATCTTTGCGCAGCGTGTACCACATAAGGAACATTGATGTCTTCAAACTTAAACAGGTAAATCTTTAAGTGACATCCTTAAATCCAGTAATTTTATATTTTAAAAAATCTATTTTAAATGCATCAAGAGAAAGAAGTGATCAAAATATAATTTACCGTTTAATTCATAAAAAGATGGAAATGATATTTTGCTATCCATGTATAATAACTCCTCCAGATCAAGATGCCCATAGACATCTTCATGACGCACGATTGGCCGCGAGGCATTTATCACTACGGCAACACAAACCAGCTTATCCGCCAGAAGAAGTTCCTCAGACAGGAAGTGGAGAGCGGTACCTTGGGCAGCCCTGCTGCTGCAGAGCTTCTAGACCACATGCAGCCCACCTACTGGTTTTCAGCTCACTTGCACGTGAAGTTTGCTGCACTGATGCAGCACGAGGTGGGTATATATAAAAATTGAGAGATATAAACCTATATATCATCACAATCTCCAGAGTTTATTATTCATTATAAAGTAAATCACAACAGGCTATTTATCATAACAGGCTAAGAATAATGCTGCCCCAAAGATCACCAAGTTTCTCTCACTTGACAAGTGTCTTCCACATAGAGACTTTCTTCAGGTAATTATTCTGCTGTTTCCATCAACAAAACGTGTTTCAAGCTCTTCCAGTAGTATCCACTTTGTCCAAATATTGTAAGACCCAAGTAGTAGATCTAGTCTATGTGAGTGAATGAATGTTTTGATTTTGCAGATTGTGGAGGTAGCAGACCGACCGGGCTCCTCTGTGCACCTTGAGTATGATCCAGAATGGCTGGCCATCTTGAAAGCGACAGACAGCCTTCAGAAACCATCCTGCAATTTCTGGAACCCCCCACAAGACAATGGACTGCATACCCAGTACAGACTATGTTACAATGACTACATTTTCATGCACATCATTTTACGATTAGTTCACCCAAAAATGAAAATTCTGTCATTAATTACTCACCCTCATGTCGTACCAAACCCGTAAGACCTTCGTTTATCTTCGGAACACAAATTAAGATCTTTCTGATGAAATCTAAGAGCTTTCTGACCCTCCATAGACAGCAAGGGAACTACCACATTCAAGGTCCGGAAAGGTAGTAAGGACATTGTTAAAATAGTCCATGTGACATCAGTGGTTCATCCATAATTTTATGAACCTACAAGAATACTTTTTATGTGCAAAGAAAACAAAAATAACGACTTTCTTCAACGATTTTTTATTTTCCGGCTCAGTCTGCCCCCATTCATGAGAGTACCACACGGTACTCTTGTGAATGGTGGCAGACTGACCCGGAAGAGAAGAAATCGTTGAACAAAGTCGTTATTATTGTTTTCTTTGAGTAGACGAACCCAGTGAGTACCCCACTGACACCTCCGGCCTCTCCAGCTCCTATAATCCTGATGAAATCACCATTGAGGACGAATGGGTGGAGGAAGAGGATGAGGGAGTAGAATGTGCCGAGGGGAAAGGGACAGACGCAGTGGTTCCAGAAGGGCAGGTAGGGAGCCAGGACAGCGATAGAGACAGCAGTCCCCAGCGAGAGATGGCTAATAGACTGATCTTACCGCCCCCATGTTCTGCACCAGAATCAGAGGCTCCACTACGCTCCTTGCGGCCGCTTTCTCTTCCCCCTCCTTCAGCATCCCTCTCTCAGGGCAGCTCAGAAGAGGAGGGGGGCCTTACACCAGCCAGGGTCCCCAAACGCACCAGCGGGGAGACGACACGGGGGTCAGCAAGTCACACAGGTGGCACACCTCAAATCAAACGGAGAAACCAGAGTATCTACACAGCAGTAGAAGATGAAGAGAGTGAGGGCTAGATAAATGCAATTATAGTTTTTGATCAGCAAATTACTACCAAGTATGATCTGCCGGATAGTTTGAGTCTGAAGAGTTGAATGGGTTACAATACTGATTTAATCTGCTTGGTAACTATTGTTTTTAAAGAACAGGGTTTTTTTGAGTGTGAGGAACTAAAGAGAAACTATTTTCAAAAATGTCACATTTTTGGGGCATTTTCATGTGTATAAAGTAACACCACAACCATGAGTTTTTATCTTGCATTTGTCATTTATTTTCCTTTATGATGAGTTTTAATGATCTGTTTCTTTCTATTTTTTTAACCAAATATATCACATCACACGCCTAAGTTTACTCTGTCTGGACTGTTATTTTATTAGCTTTGTGGTGATTGACTTGGCTTTACCATTCTATTGTAAATGCATCAAGTCTAGATAATATATGATCCTGATGTCTTTTTTGTATATTCGATCTCAGTCCGGGGCCGGCTCCATTCATTGCATGGACGGGGCAAGATAAGCGTTTAAATGCATGTAGGCTAAACAGTTCAGTTGAAAGCTTACCCCTTTTGACTTGTTGTTAATGCTGAATGTAAGAATGAAAATTGCAAGTAGGCTCCACTACGCTCCTTGCGGCCGCTTTCTCTTCCCCCTCCTTCAGCATCCCTCTCTCAGGGCAGCTCAGAAGAGGAGGGGGGCCTTACACCAGCCAGGGTCCCCAAACGCACCAGCGGGGAGACGACACGGGGGTCAGCAAGTCACACAGGTGGCACACCTCAAATCAAACGGAGAAACCAGAGTATCTACACAGCAGTAGAAGATGAAGAGAGTGAGGGCTAGATAAATGCAATTATAGTTTTTGATCAGCAAATTACTACCAAGTATGATCTGCCGGATAGTTTGAGTCTGAAGAGTTGAATGGGTTACAATACTGATTTAATCTGCTTGGTAACTATTGTTTTTAAAGAGCAGGGTTTTTTTGAGTGTGAGTGTGAGGAACTAAAGAGAAACTATTTTCAAAAATGTCACATTTTTGGGGCATTTTCATGTGTATAAAGTAACACCACAACCATGAGTTTTTATCTTGCATTTGTCATTTATTTTCCTTTATGATGAGTTTTAATGATCTGTTTCTTTCTATTTTTTTAACCAAATATATCACATCACACGCCTAAGTTTACTCTGTCTGGACTGTTATTTTATTAGCTTTGTGGTGATTGACTTGGCTTTACCATTCTATTGTAAATGCATCAAGTCTAGATAATATATGATCCTGATGTCTTTTTTGTATATTCGATCTCAGTCCGGGGCCGGCTCCATTCATTGCATGGACGGGGCAAGATAAGCGTTTAAATGCATGTAGGCTAAACAGTTCAGTTGAAAGCTTACCCCTTTTGACTTGTTGTTAATGCTGAATGTAAGAATGAAAATTGCAAGTAAACAACACTGAAATAAGAGCTTGTGAGATGAAAGGTGTGTTCGTCGTTACTGTAGCAACAGTCAGCTTGACTCTAATATCCAGTGAAGCAAACTATTCGACTTTTTTTGTGAAATGCCACCGTTTGGAATTGAAAGCAGGTCGGTCATTTATGTGATTCATGTAATTCATAATTATTGTGACGACAATAGCATTGTTCTGTTTTGCGTTTTCAACATTAGGAATACAACTAAAATTGAATGGGTGCATATTTTAAAGTAAAAATATATTATTTGCAATTCAGATTGATTACTTAAAAAAAAAAATCTTATTCTTGTTATTTTACTGTTCTTTTGTCTTCTTTGAATTTATTCCACTAAATCCATTTAAATCCTTTATTTATTTAGTTCCTTTACCATTACCATAGTGGTCTGGTCTTTATATTTTCTTCAAAACAATGGTCCCCCCAATGTTCTAGACATGATATTTAAATTGACATTTGTGACCCTGGACCACAAAACCAGTCTTAAGTCACTGGGGTATATTTGTAGCAATAGCCACAAATACATTTTATGGGTAAAACTTATAGATTTTTCTTTTATGCCAAAAATAATTAGGATATTAAGTAAAGATCATGTTCCATGAAGATATTTTGTAAATTTCCTACCATAAATATCAAAACTTAATTTTTTATTAGTAATATGCATTGCGAAGAACTTCATTTGCACAATTTTAAAGGCGATTTTCTCAATATTTAGATTTTTTTGCACCCTCAGATTCCAGATATTCAAATAGTTGTATCTCAACCAAATATTGCCCTATCCTAACAAACCATACATCAATGGAAAGCTTATAATTATTATTCCAGATGTATAAATCTCAATTTTGAAAAATTGACACTTAAGACTAGTTTTGTGGTCCAGGGTCACATTTAGTCATTTAGCAGATGCTTTTATCCAAAGCGGCTTAAGAATAGCGGCTGTCATATAGGTCTATGTGCATTTTTAGATTTTACATTTTTAGTTGAAAATAATCACCAGTGTAGAAACAATGAAACTATTTAATTAAAGAAAAAAAAAAGTTTTGTGAAAATGCATGATATTCTACACTTTTTTTCCAGTGTACATATAATATAGTTAATATATTTAAAGTAGCAATATCTACAGTATAACCATAGAAACCATATAACCACAGAAAATGAGCTCTGTGACCAACAAAAGTTTATGATACTTAGACATTCATAAAGATAATCTTAATTTGTGAAATATGTTATTCGTTTGTGAAAACAACACATATTTATATGAATTTTGAAGCATAAATGCAATTCCTAGAAGTAAAAAGCTAATGTTAGGCAATAAACAGACTAAAAATTCAATTGAGAGTAAACACAAGGCTGTAGAAGTGGACTAGTGAGTATACAGGTTTTCTTGTTTCAAGACATTAAGAAATCATGTGTAGGATATTACTGATGTATTTTATGTCATAGAATAAAATGTGAAAATATCTTGCTCTTGTGTTAACCACAAACTTTAAGGCATTTAACTAAAACCCATTAACTTCTGAACAATGGATTAGGAAGTGCAACAATGCTCACTTGTTTCTGGGTTTTCCTGCAGCACGCTATATTAGAAATTACATTTCCCTATTCCGATCTCAAACCATTCCAGTCATGTCCTGCTCCACACAAATCTCAAGTTCTCCCATTTCCAGTTCAAAATAACCAATGGAATGCTGCTGTAGTCTCAGCCATCTTTAAAATGACGTCAAATTACACTTCTTAATGACTTTTCAAGTTGGATGGTTGACCTCGAGTGCCATTCCGGTTATATTCAAACAGGAGGAGGGGGAATTCCAAAGTTCTGTATGTGGAATGCAGCACAACACACCTAGATTGCCCTATCCTAACAAACCATACATCAATGGAAAGCTTATAATTATTATTCCAGATGTATAAATCTCAATTTTGAAAAATTGACACTTAAGACTGGTTTTGTGGTCCAGGGTCACATTTAGTCATTTAGCAGATGCTTTTATCCAAAGCGGCTTAAGAATAGCGGCTGTCATATAGGTCTATGTGCATTTTTAGATTTTACATTTTTAGTTGAAGTTTTGTGAAAATGCATGATATTCTACACATTTTTTCCAGTGTACATATAATATAGTTAATATATTTAAAGTAGCAATATCTACAGTATAACCATAGAAACCATATAACCACAGAAAATGAGCTCTGTGACCAACAAAAGTTTATGATACTTAGACATTCATAAAGATAATCTTAATTTGTGAAATATGTTATTCGTTTGTGAAAACAACACATATTTATATGAATTTTGAAGCATAAATGCAATTCCTAGAAGTAAAAAGCTAATGTTAGGCAATAAACAGACTAAAAATTCAATTGAGAGTAAACACAAGGCTGTAGAAGTGGACTAGTGAGTATACAGGTTTTCTTGTTTCAAGACATTAAGAAATCATGTGTAGGATATTACTGATGTATTTTATGTCATAGAATAAAATGTGAAAATATCTTGCTCTTGTGTTAACCACAAACTTTAAGGCATTTAACTAAAACCCATTAACTTCTGAACAATGGATTAGGAAGTGCAACAATGCTCACTTGTTTCTGGGTTTTCCTGCAGCACGCTATATTAGAAATTACATTTCCCTATTCCGATCTCAAACCATTCCAGTCATGTCCTGCTCCACACAAATCTCAAGTTCTCCCATTTCCAGTTCAAAATAACCAATGGAATGCTGCTGTAGTCTCAGCCATCTTTAAAATGACGTCAAATTACACTTCTTAATGACTTTTCAAGTTGGATGGTTGACCTCGAGTGCCATTCCGGTTATATTCAAACAGGAGGAGGGGGAATTCCAAAGTTCTGTATGTGGAATGCAGCACAACACACCTAGAGAGCTATCTATTAGCATTTAGCACCAGGAGCATTTGAGAAACCTGTTTGGTCATTATGTTTGTGATATCATTTGGTGCTGCTAGTGGCATTTAGTTCCTTTAAGGGTAAATATTACATGTCACATGGGTGCAGCTGGACAACTGTTGAATGCTATTTCCTCATTAATGACAGTTAGCAGAGGTTTAGCTCAAGGCTAGTCAAAAAGCCACATTTCATTCATAGCAGAACAGCACAGCTTTATTTAACATTTCAGTTCACAGAGGTGTTAACAGGAGATCAGATCTATTCCACAAAAAAGGTGGACCTGAAGACACATGACAAATGACTTCTAGCTGTGTGACACCATATCATGATACCGAATTAATTCCCTAAATGATCATAAAAATGTATTGGTAACCCATTAAATTACTGACTAAAATCAATTTTAAATAAAATTCATTTTTATACACCTCAACAAACAGCATCCATAAAACAAAACTTCAGAAATGACTGTTACTAACACGCTCAACGAATTATTCTTACAGGTTATTGCCTGTACAACGCTACTTTTCAGCAGTCTGACGACCTCAAACAAGCCTAAAACAAAGAACACGGAAAAAACGGAGTAGGCACTTCTGTTTTTTTCCACTTTTTCAGGGGCTTTGCGGGCCAAAAATTCCCTTGCTGCTATTTGCCGTCCCGACGTATCGCACAGCATTGGTTGCTAAATCATTCACGTTGTTGATTTGTGGGCGCTTGAATATTTTTGTTGCTTTTTAATAACACATACTGAGACATTGGCCTGGTATTGCATGACTTCCTTTTCCAGACGAATCAATGTGCGTTATTCTGGTTTACGATCAGTCATCTGGTTGCTGCCAATATGCTGTAAATGATTTGTTGATTGTTTCTCAAACAGTAGTTTACACAAAGCGACCAGAACGTAGAGAAGACATCGTAGAGCTTGCTGTTGTTTCGTTAACTTCAACACTGAACTTCAAGGTCAATGTGGTCAGGAGAAGGAAATGGGATCGGG